GAATAATCAAAATAAGTGAAGAAAATTTGAGTCAAATATGTAGATTATTAATCTAATATCAGTCCCAAAAGCAAAGGTTTGTGTTGAAATTTTCGAAGTCGATTGAATTGTCCTACATCTTGATACACTGTTTTAAAGAATTTTCCTTGCTCTTAATAATATGAGTAAAAAGATTCAACAGAAAAAGCAGAAAAAATTTGGTGAAAAATAAGATTTTCATATTGAGGTTCAGCCATTTTTCACTAAAAAGTATACCTTTGTGGGCAAAGAATTACTCGCCCCAATCAAGTCATGTTGTACATTATGAAAGGCTGCCTTTTTCAGCTCAGCCAATGTTTATGGCGCAACATTGGTAAATATGGATCGATTGAACACTACAAATCCAATTCTGATGGAGTGAAAAACACTATCAAACTGCTTTCAGCCTTGCCATTCATCAAAGTTGAGGACATACCGAATAACTATTATCGCCTTATCTCCAATCAACTTCACGAGATTTTGTTGGATAATGGTGTTTGAATGGATGCGAGGACACCGAACAAGATAAAAGAGCGTTGACGCTCGGTTTTTATTTGTTCTATTAGAGCACTTTTGAAATCCATACTTTTTTGTTACAACTAACAAAGAAAAATAATTGCCCGTTTCCTTAGCTACAAAAAAAGCCCTATTGGCGACCTGAGAAATCAGTAATAACAAAACGCAGATAGTTCAAACCCAGTTCCTCTTGCTCCGGGCAGCCTAATATCAAATGGTCATAAATGAAGCACCGTCAGACGAAAATATGCAATCTTTCTTGGACTATTTCAGTAGAACTTATCTCAATTCAGAATTCAGATTTCCTTTGACTGTATGGAATCATTTCAGAGATAATGACCCACGGACTAACAACCATATTGAGGGATGGCATTCTGGTTTCAACCGTGCTGTTGGACGTAATCTCGCAAATTTATGGATATTTATCGAGTATATAGTGAAACAACAGAATGCATACGAAATCAATATTCTAATCGCCGATTATGGAGCACGGCAACTACTGGATAAAGAATTTATCATGAAATGAATCAGAGAATCATGTTTATTACGACTAATAATGATGCTGGTCTTATCACAGCGTTCGAATGCCTGGATGAACTTAAATATTATACAAAACTTTCTGATCTTAATTAATTTCAAACTTTTCACGAACTAAACCCATAATTCTATGCGCAGTAGATAACTACTAATTTTTAATATGTGCACTGCTATTCATTAAATTGTTCATGAAAATCATATGCATTGAAAATAAATGTCCTTATCATTAATTTAGAGCCTGAGTCGAATCATTAAAAAAGTTTTTGTATCAGTGCCATCTATTGATAAGAAAATTTTTGACGCACGAGAGCCAGTAATCTTTAGCTATTTTGCCTTTAGCTCATATGTTTTATCTAAAACAAGCTTAGCATAAAAGGCTTTAGCTATACAGGTATAGAACCGAACCAACATCAAATGAATTTGTTGAAAAATAGGTCAAAGTGTTAGATGCATCGATTGAGAATGATAAAACGAAACGAGTTTGGACAGGCAAACTAACCAAATCATTTAACCACCTTTCATTGAGACTGAATAACATTGATATTCACTCTAGTGTGAAAACATTAGTCGATCTTGTGAGACGAAAATCTAAGCCGTAATTTAAACAAACCTAAATGATTCAGTACAAAGTTGATAGTGAACCAGCAATACCATCTTATGTTGAACCAATAAATGATCAACAAAGATTTCTAGAATAACATTGAAAAAACAAAATAAGAATTTAAATCAGAGTAAGAAAATCACAACAACTTGGAATCATGAATGTAATGAACAAGTAAATCCTAAAAGAAGTATCGATGATGATTGGGTTAGTGATGCTTATTGTAAAGCAAAGCTTAATGATGATATTAAAATTTGATATCGGTAATCATGATATTGATATTCATCATGATTACCGAGTATATATTCCACCGAAAGAGTTATTTTGTGGTTTGTTGAAAGATATAATAAAACAAATCAAAGACTGACCATTGAATGTCAAAATTAATGTTAACACCGTGAGGGAGGTCCGGAAAAGTATGCAGTCAAGAAATCTTAAAGTCAAATGAAACTATGCGATCACATCGAGGAACAAAGGCTGACACCTTACAATTACGCCGAGGGAAATTTTCGTTTTTTCTGCCGACCGAGTACCCGTAAATAGGTACTAGTGTGACCATAGGGGGCAGCTGTAAGGGAAGGCACGTTAACTTTCCATCTCTTGTAACCAACCACATTTCTTGTCTTAAGATGATGTGCATTAAATCAAGCATAACTTAAACCAAGTTATTTCCTTTTGTAAAGAAAAACTGGTTTTAACCAGGTTGGTTTTGGTGCTACCTTTCCTTACCTCAAATAGGTAGGGAAAGGCCACAATTGGTTACTTTTTGGTGGGTCGGCCATTTTGTGAGGGAGAAGAATTTCTCCCTCACGGTGCATAAAATGGCCGACATTTCTTTGTTCTCGTTGCGTATCAGCCACCCGCGGAAGCCCTACTGGACTGACATCAGAAATCTATGAGTGACCATTAACTAACTTTGACTAGAATTGATAAGTGATTGTACACTAATGTAATAAGTGACGGACCATTGAACAACCCGGTGGTTATATCATCAAGTGTTTCTTGAGATTCTATTTTGACTAGAATTGATAAGTGATTGTACACTAATGTAATAAGTGACGGACCATTAAACAACCCGGTGGTTATATCATCAAGTGTTTCTTGAGATTCTATTCTGACTAGAATTGACAAGTGATTGTACACTAACGTGATAAAGTGGCGGACTCGCTTCATTTTCAACCTGATCCTAGCCAATCTCGGAAACAAAGAAACTACTCCTTGTATTCATAAATAAATGACACTTATTTAATCTCTATTTGATATATAAGAAATTTTGTTGTAATATTACCTAAATAAAAGATATAAACCCAACAGGTCCGGCACTTTTCCTTTTTTTGTAGTACAAAAAGTAAAGTAAAAGAAGACAAGAGATCTTTTAATCTATAGATGCCTTGAGTCATTTTTGCCCATAAATTCTTGAGTTAGAGTTAATACTGATTGTTGAACATTTCCAATCAGCTCAACCATACCTACATCTTTCCTTTCACAGTCTATCTTATATTGTATTTCATGTTAATTTGAGTTCATCAATAAAATTCAATTCAATCTAACTTGTCGTGTAAACATCGTTTACCTTTAATGTATCTGCCATCTCTGTTCCAAAAGGCTATCTTTACTGTTAACATAGTAGCAGCATACGAACAATATCTATGTAGTGTTTCCGCTTTCTTATCCCCAGCGAAACACTTACAACTCCATCAAGTGTTGCAGAAATTTGGAAAGATCAAACTATAACATTCAACTATAACTGGAAATTGAAATTTCATTATCTGCTGAGCTGCCCAAAAATTAACAGCAATACATTGAAAAATTTTTTGCTGAAAATGAGCAACAAAATCAATGGAAAATGAGTTTTTGGTCAACAAATGGTGCACACAAACTGATCTAGCACCAACCATGAATTTATGCAGAGTCACTCCGAAAGGTTACAGAAATTCTTTCAAATTTAATCATTAATCTTAATTATTATTTATGGTTTAATTTGATTCAATGGTTTTTCAATTAAAAAAGAGAACACTGAGAACACTGTGCTAACAAATTATCTTGAAATAATTTTCAATAAAAGCGCTTAACACGCAAGGAAACACTTGGGTATAACTTTTTGCAATTCAAATAAGTTGCAAAATTATTTTATTTGACTCTTCTTTATTCACGAAGAATAATTGGTTCTGAGTTGTGTCAGAAATGACCTTTTCTTAATACTGCTCTACTGATTTGTTTATTTTAAAGCTGCTGAGGTTTGGAAAAAAGTTAAATTTGCTGCTAATTATTTGCATCATTGTTCCTTGCAAATCGTGCGTTATTGTCGTATGTATGTGAAAAAATATAAGGTGATTACAAATTAGCATTTATGTTGAGTTATCAATGTCACTTATCTGTTTTCGCTCAACGTCAGTTTGCGAAATTTGTGCCATTATGATCCAAATTGTGAGTTTTTTCAATTTAAGAGGTGATTTTTAATACTAACTTCTTACTAATTCTGTCATTTACCAAAATTTAGGGTCCAGCGGAATTGATTATCAACTGCGATGTTTACCTCCTTTCACTTCTCACTTCCTGTTTTATTTCCTTCCATGTTCGCTGTTGATTTTTTGATTTGTTTTGTTGTTTGCATAGGATGCGGAAGCAAAAATCGGCATTGGAACACTCTTATAAGGCATCTCTTTTAGCTTTTATGAATTCTTACTTATCGAAATTATGTGAATATAAAAATAGCATTCAAAAAGATGATCCGGGTTCGAAATTACCATTGACCCGATGTAATCTTCAAAATATCAATTCAATTAAAGATGATTTAATTCTGATTTTAATAGAGTTTCTTTCTCCAGTTGAGATTTTCAAGTAAATAAATTGGCGCAAAGCAAGTTTTTCTGAATCTTAATTCCATCAATAGATTGTTTACACATGAAAATACAGTCACGAAATTGAGTTGCAAACATTTTTTGAAAAGTTAACGCAGGTATTGATAGTTTATCAACTAAGCACTGCTTAAATTCAATTACACTATCTCAATATGCGCATAAGATATTAAAAATGTTTGCAACTCAATTTCGGTGGTTGTATAATACGTAGCTACAAAATTGCACTCTCAATCTCTATCATTCTGTTTTCTGCCATATCTCAAAAACTAAACATGAGAATATGGCAGAGAAAAATGGTTCTAATTTTGCAATTATCACACGACAAAAAATAAGTTTAGATAAATTTCGAGAGAAGACCATTTCTCACACCCTCCTTTAAGGTACATTTGGTTTCGATTGTCCTCAAATCACAAATCAGGAAAAGCTTCGAGAGCTTCCAATACAATTAATGAATCTTTTAATTTTGATAAGTTAGATTTATTTGTAGAAGCTTGGAAGTTTGAAATCACAGAGACATTGGCTTCAACAAGATCGCTTTGGGTTCGTTTTTGAATTAAAGGGCATAAAACTGAAATTAGAAGAAATACTTCATTGATCACCAACTCTTAATTGGTTTTTACAATTAAATTTTAACTGAAATGCATTGCATTTACATTTAAAGAAAATTAATAAACTAGATTAATTATACAATTTGAATTTTTACAATATTTGACAATTAAAATACACAAACTATGTTTAAATTGGAATAGTAATGATGGTAAAAGTTCAACAACTTATCGTCGTTCTTTTTTTACATGTTAAAAATTTATGTTTAAAAAACAAAAATAAAAATTGCATCCATCGATCTCATATGATCCTCACAACGAGTTGCTTGAAGTTATTTTATGGCCTCTTCAGTGTTTCACTATCGGTGTTTTGCTGTTTATTGTTACACTAGAAGCTGAGACTGGTTGTTTCTTTGATTTGCTTTTGTTCTTCGATTTGTCGAACAATTCTTCGACATTTTCAAGTGACATTCCCCGAGTTTCAGGTAACTCGAAAAAGAAGAATATCCAACCAACAATGGCAAAGCCACAGTAAAGCCAGAAAGCTCCGTATTTTGTGATGGCCTTAGTCAAGGAAAGGAATGTCAATGAAACGAGTAGATTGAAAGCCCAATTGGCTGAAGTGGATATTGAATAGCAAGTACCACGAGCCCAGAATGGATAGATTTCAGCATTGATAGTCCATGGCATGGGACCCATTCCGGGTGCAAAGAAGAATAAGTAAAGACATAAACCCATTATTGTCAGCCAAGCATATTTAGATGGACACCAATCGTAAGCCCAAACTAATTTTTTAGGCACAATTGTTCCATTGGAACAAGTTCCATATTGAGATTTACTTTCATCCCATTCTGATTGAGGCGTTCTTGCGGTTAAGAGACACGATCCATTTTCCCATGGAGGATAATCAGAGAAACAAAATCCACATTCAGGTCGGGCGATGCAGCTACGACATGATGTTTGAATTGAGCAAATGTCCATATCAGCAGAGAATGAAAATGGTAATGATGAATTTAAAGGTTCAGGATGAATGGCGGGAGATTCACGTTCAGTCAATTGAAAGCCAGCGGCAAGAACGGCTAAACTAAGTATTACACCAGAAAGTGATCCAAGAGTTAGCTTACGTCGACCAGTTCTTTCAACCAGATAGAATCCAATAAATGTACAAAGGAAATTTACAGAAGCCACAGCAGCGGCTAACCAAATGGCCAATGTTTCTTCGTAAACACCGGACATTTGAATGATTGTCGCACTATAATACATAACAGTGTTGATTCCAGATAATTGAGCAACAGCTTGTAGTGCACATCCAACCAATAGAGCACGTCTCAACGGTTGAGATGCAAATACTTTTGATAAAACACTAGCATTGTTAGTTTCAACATTTGACTCTTCTTCGGCAATGCAACTGTCTTTGATCATTTCATATTCCAGTTGAGCTGCTCTCTCGCAACTACGAATTCGGCATAAAATGGCTTTAGCTTGCTCGTCTTTGCCTTTCTTGACCAACCAACGAGGTGATTCAGGCATGAAGAAGAATCCAATGAATTGGAGAAACGCAGGAATACCGGCAATACCCAACATTAACCTAGAAAAATAATAAATTCATAATTATTATTCCGTAGTTAATGAGATCCATTTTTAAACTTTTATAAATTTTAAATTCGAAAAAAACTTTAATTCGTTTCAGCTGACGAAGATCAGAGTCATAAAACATCATTAAGAAGATGAAGTCACAGCAAATGAAAACACAAAAGGAAAGTTGATTAACCTTCATGATTTGTAAAAACACTATCAATATCAAATTATTGATTGGAATCATTTGATGAAAACATTGAGCAAACAGGACTTCCTTATTAATGGTTGATAACAATTGAATTAAAAAGCAACAAAACTCGATTAATTGAAATGAGAGATAAAATTTCATGAATGAGTTTCACGAGTTCTATGATTTATGAGCATGATGTATCAATTAAGATTAATGTCTCATGAAAACAAACCAGTTTGGTTGCAGCTATAAAACATTATTTACAATTAATGTGTCAATAGTTGACATTCAATCTCAATTCAATTTCAATGCCAATGAAAGTAAAATTGATTTCAACATAAATATTTAAATAACTCGCAATGGTCCATAAGAACAAAGCAAAAGGGCAAAATCAGTTGATTCATGCCATAATCACAGAAGAAATAAAAATGCAAATTAAGTGAGGAATCACGAGTCAGTTCAATAAGCAACGAAAAAATTAACATGAAAAGAGAAGAGGTTTCATCAAAGCCAAATAATATTAATAACCAAATCATTAAATCAATAAATGAAGTTCGAACCATAGCGAGTTTGTGAAAGTTGAGTATGATTTTTTAAAGGCAACAATTTAGCTTTTCAGATAATCGCCCGATAGACAGCTAAGCGTACTGAAAGCTATTAATTGAATTTCAAGGTGAACACAAATTCGAGCAAACATTTTAGCCTTGCTTACCTCCAAGCAAGATCATGATCTAAATAACTCAAGAAACCAGCAGTTACAGAAGCAATGAACTGTCCGCCGGTGATGAAGCAAGTGTTGATTGTGACGAGAGATCCACGAATGCTACTAGGAGCCACTTCAGCTACATACATGGGAATGACCATGGATGATAGTCCAATGCCAACACCAACGATTGCTCGACCAATGAGCAAAGTCCACTTGCCCATTGCGATGGCCATAACTACTGAGCCTAGAGTAAATACAGTTGAAGCAAACAGAATGACTGGTCGACGGCCAAGACGATCAGTAAAGTATCCAACAATTGTACTAAATATCCAAGCAAATACTAGAGTTATGCTGATAATCAGTTCTTGCCAAATGTCGTTCAGATCCAACTGCTTTTTAATCAAAACCATGGCACCAGAAACAATACCAGTGTCATAGCCAAAGAGGAAACCACCGATGGCAGACAAAAATGACACTGTGTACACGAAAATGGGTTGACCTGATGGAGGTGACATTCTTACTCGCATTCACATTAAACTCGTACAAAGACACT